TGTACTTTCCTTACTAATCTCTTAAATTTGCACCTCAAGTGTAAATCAGTCTCCATTGCTATCTGTGTAATTTTTTGCTTTAGTAAAGTATAACTTATGTCTGAGTAGTCAGAAATTCGAATAAAATTGTCAAGCAGGTAGGACATGGAAAACACAAAGTCGTCACAATTTAGGAGGTGATTTGGAAAACGCCAAATATTTTTAAAATCAATGTCTTTGTCAAAACGCAAAATTGCATTGTAGACAACATGATCACCAATAAATGGGAGCATTTGGCATGTAACAAGGCTTCCAAGGTGAACAGAATTAATATAAATTCTGTCCAACCTGGCCTCCGAGTTATTTTTGAGTTTACTAAAATAAGTCATGTCCTTACCAAGAGGATTAAAATGTCGATATGTGTCAAAGAGATTGAGATTATTGCAAGCCAAAGTGAAATCCTTCGCAATCTTAGTGCGACGTTCAGTCGACCGTAACCTGTCCAGGGTTTCATTTAAAACAAAATTCCAGTCACCTGCTAAAATAACATTGTCAGAATTTGTCAGTGACGAAATATTTGATTTTAAAATATTTAAAAATTGAGCACTGTCATAATTTTTAAAAGGAAAATGTGCATTATAAATGTCAAATTGTTGATTATTAACGTCAATTATAATGTGTTGTAACTTTCCGGGAACCAAATTGGTCTCATTTAAAATGTTGATTGTCGTTTTAACTAGAAAAATTGTACCACTTCCAAGGGTGGTAGCAGAATTATAGCTAGTCTTATAAGAATTAATGTTAAAATGGTCATGTTTTTTAAAGGCAATGTTGGTTTCTTACAAAATTATTACGTCAGGTAAAAACTTAAGAATTAGTGTTGTTAAGGAATGTCGTTTAACAGAGTTATTTAAACCCTGACAGTTCAAAGTCCATATGTTAAGAGAAGACATTGTTAGTTAAAAAAGTATTTTCGATAATTTTTTATTTCATCATCCGAAAGTTTTCTGCCAGACTGAAAAGCTTTCATTTCGAAACTGCGAAAGTTTAGGTCTACCTCTGCCAAAACTTTCGCAATTTTCTCAGGGGACATATTAATGAAATCCTTGATAAGTTTCAGAACGTCGCTCATCTTGGACTTTGTTAAAGAGTGTTTAGTCCCCAAGGAGTTTATGACCTCAAATAGAAGGTCATGAAGTTCCTGGGGCTCCTTTGTTATCATGCAAACCAAATGGTTTAAGCGGTGATAACCACCCTTATCATTATTTTCCTTAAGTGACTCCAAAAAACTAATAATCCATCGGTACTGATGTCTTTGTAGTTCCCGAAAGATCCATTTTTCCAACTATCAAAAGCCCAAGGAGGCGATGAATTGGACGAGGTTGGCACAGACACCTCTGCCTGCCTGCCACGTTTTCGAAATATTTTTTTCTTCTTGCGTCCATTTGAGACAACGGTAGAATCCGTCCCCTCCCCCTCACTCGAAAGCTCATTCTCAGCTTGACTTACGTCAAATCGAGACCGCTTTTGAGAGTCAATCTCTGAGTCATCAAAAGTGGACTCCGAGATGGACTTTCTTTTCCGGATGGGAGTTTTCCTAGGATTTCCCAGTGTTTTCTTGGGATGCATAATTTTGTTGGGACAATTTTTATTAGTATGGCCAGATTTGCCACAAGAAAAACATTTTTTGCACCAACTTGTAAGTATATGTTGTGATTGATCCCGTCCCAACGTACTTTCTCACTGGGGGGATCATCACACCATTTTGAATTGAAAGGGAGATGGTGCGGGTAAAACTTTTGACATGGGAAAATTCCTCTCCCACTCCAAAGCAGGCCTGATGCTCGACCCCACTCCGCACCTCCCCATATTTCTCGAGCAATTGTAATAATATATCATCCGGTATGAAAGGTGGAACGTTACGTAGTACCACCCTTCGTACCGGATTCAAATACCGATTTATTTTTGCCAATTGGCCTTTTATCGTGATGGTATCAAACGCCACAATGGTGTCAACAGACTCCACTGAGTCAAACCACACCTCAAAATTTGCAGCTCCACAAAAATCAGCATATTTTATCTTCGAAGGTAAAATCACCTTACCGATAGCCTCCAGCAACTCGGGTAAGGTTACTCCTGCCACTCTCCTTATGAGTACCCCCTTGGTCTTATCTAGGGCAGGATCACACCAGGTAGTTGGCACGACCCCCTTGGCAGCTATGATGTTATAATTTAGATGTCTTTGAGGAGAAACAGGTGATAATGTTTCCATTTCACCTTCCTCAGACATGTTGGTGATGGTGGTGCACTTGTGTACACAAAGGGTTAAACCAACTTAAAAAACAACAGTTTTTTTAAAGTTGGAAATTACCAAAATTCAATTTAAAAAATTTGAAATTCGAGTTAGTTTGTTGAAAGTTGATATGAAACTACTAAGTGAGCTTAAAATCAAACTTTAAATTTCGCTAAAATTCACTAAAAAATCAGTTGATTAAAAAATAAATTTAAGCAGAAAAAATGACAATCCACTCGAGCCTCAAGTTGCGCGGTTTTTTATATTTTTAATCTTTTAATCGCACATAGTCTCACCTATGCAATCCTTTTTTGGGTTTAGTTTACTTCTGGCTTTTTATTGGACTTGGACACTAACTTATAATTCGTGGTTATACAAATATTATGCACGAGACTAATTTGTTCTTGTTTACTTTGTACTTAATCATTCAAACATCCCCTATACATACTTCCCTGTCATATTTTTGTCACCTTCAACAATTATCAAAATCAGAAAGGGACGACATACCGTTTGGGTCCCTACAAACAATAATTCGGCAGTTGTATTATAATATAACTAATGTTCCTAATATCAGCCTCCTACGACTGTATGGAATATTATGCGCCAACGACCCCCACAAATTTTATGTGTCGCTCATGATGCTTACATATATTATTATTTTTTATACCACGAAAGTCAGAATGTGAAATCTACATAAGTATCAATATGCTACTCGTCTTAAGTGTACCTTTATCCACCCAAACCTACATAGCAACGCTACTTGTTTTTCGCCACCATGAAAACTTCGTCATTTCTTATCCGATTTTGATCATCTAAAGTTTGTTCGGTAGCCAAAAATATTTGCTTCAATTTTTGTCCAACAGAATTTTCATTTAAGCCCCTAATTTTTTTTAATCCGCTAGAGATCGATTTCAGAGGGGGTTTTTGGTAAATATCTCGGAAACGGACAGCACTTCCTGCCGGCCAGTACCGATTCAGATTCTACATTACAATAATTGACTCTGGGTACTTATTTCATCAAAATCGGTTGAGAAATGGCAAAGTTATGGCCTAATGTCACTTTTTAGAACCCGAGTGAATGCCTACTTAGGTGTTTTTTCGTAACTATAGCCTCACCTAAGAAAAATAACAATTTATTTTTCAAATTTTTTTTTTTTAATTTCGAAATTTTCTTGTCTCATGGTCGCTCACAAAAAGTTCAAAACAACTCAAAAATGTAAATTTTCAATATTATATTTATTTTTCTAAATTTCAATTTTTCTGATCATTTTAAACCAAAAATTTTGAAAATCGAGCGGAAAATTCAAAACTTATAGAGGTTTGAAGAAGGTAAAAAAATGCATTTTTATGTTTGGCGCCACGGTAATTCTCCAAATATGAGTTTTACACGTAAATTTGTATGGATCCTTCATATGGGGTCCTAGTAGATTCTGCAAAAGCAATTCATGCATTAAAATTTTCGAAAAAGTAGTGCCAAATTTCAAAAATTAGTTGTGAATTATTTAGGTTCTCGTTGATTTGCTCCACTAAGCACAACCAGAATTAGACAGCCCAGACATTGCAGAATCAGATATCATCGCAGCTATGTAGTGATAATTGAAATTTAGCACTACTTTTTCGAAAATTTTGAAAATTTTAATGCATGAATTGCTTTATTGGTATATGCTAAGTGATTTTGCAAATGCAGCTTAATATTTTTGAGCTATTTCAATCGCATAAAATTAAGGAAATCTGCGATAAAATGTGCCTGTTTCATAGTCGTATGACTACAGTGTGCATGGATGGGTTCACGCAATATTGGTCTAAGGTAAATACATTAATTTGGAATTAAGTACTCATTTGATACACATATTTATATATCGCTCGATATCTTAATAGGGTTTCGAATATCTTGTGATATGTCGTGGATATCATAAATGTGATGGATTTGAAGTTTATGACATTTATGACATTTGTGCCATATTATGACATCGAAAACCCATATTGTAAAGAAGCATAAAACACTAAACTATATTTCGTATCTATTTTGCGAAAGCCCAAAGTTTTTCTCAGAATGGATTCCGGGGAGGCTGGCTCTATCTGGAAACCAAACCCACTTCCACAGTAAGAAACCTTTGTGCGTGACCTCGTTCTACAGCGTGCTTATGGAGTGCGGTGACTGACAGGTTTCTAATAATTATCTCCAACCCTCCCTCCATCACCAACGCTTTTCCGCCAATGAGGACGTTTCGTGTACAAATCGTAAATGGCAATATCTGCCAAAAATTAAATTATCTTGAAAAAGCGGGGTTTTTAACAGGTAACGAATATATTAACCGATGCAGTCTCCCGGAAAAATTAGGCTTATCATCGGTGAGTGTTCCCGAATTTAGGTTAGAAGTTATAATTGCAGGTTTTTAACCCGAAATTTATTTATATATCTCCACTTTTTTGTCGATTAAAATTAAAAGGAAAGCATTAGAGACACTGATGACATTGGATCCGAGTCATAGTTCAACAATTTGGAGTTAATAGGGTATTGGTTATAATTTAACAAAATATACTCGTTTTAACAATTAACGAACCTTAATTTGGTGCCCACATTTGTGAAGAGAATTAAACAACAGAAATTTGAATGCCAAAGTTATGTTATCATAATTTAGAGAGTGGTATTATGTTGATAATTATCGGTTTAAGTAGCTGCAACCGTATCCAATTCTGTGTAGTTTATAACTCCAATTCAGTTACCGGTAGGACGTGAAAGCATAAACAGCAAGCTGCATTCTAAATCACTCTGAGAAGGGTTTAATATCATTATTTCGTGGGTTTGATTGAAATTTAAGTAGTCAGCATGGTTGGATGGAGTTGCTCTGCTGTAGTCTTCCACACACTAGTATTAATTAGCGTTGCCAGAAAGGAGCCTCGTCTACCTTGCCATCTCAAATGGGTTGAGTCAAGCGAGGGGAATCCAGTACCATACAACGCAGTTCCAGCCACAGGTTTGTAATTTGTGTTTGATACTGCGATACATACTCTGCAATGTATCGTATATTGCAATGTTATAAAAATAATATGCTGCTTATTAATAAATGTTTGACAGTGGTTGCTTCAGGCTCGGTTAAAAAGTTCATCGTTCGTGGATACGATGGGGCAGGAAGGTACAAAGTTGGGACTCTGCATCGGGAAGAAAGAACCGCATATTTTACCATTCCTTCACAAAATGGAACTGCTACGCAACTTGCAAACTTCGATGTGCTAATCAACGAATATGATTGTGACTTGACATGGGTTGAGGGTAATAAATACGCGTATTTTATCTATAAGCTATTCAACACGTCGACCATACCGTTAGGACGAACGAGTTACGAAGGTACATGGTACCCTGGAGCAATTTATAGCTCAGAAACACTTACGGCTGCGATTGACAATTCGACTGAGTTGGTAGAGGCATCTGATTTTCAATATTTAATTTCATCTTCTGCTGGATTTCAATTAGAAATACGAGATTTTATATTTGAACCGGATATATTTGGGGGAAATCCAACTCTAATGGGGTACGATGAGATACATAACCTTTCAAATTGTTCCATTACACAGACACTGACACACACGCAGAGCATTACCGAATCCAAAACGGTTGTAATGAGTTTAACAAAAACCTCTACGAAAACTGATGAATTTAGTCTTAACCTGGCGCTGTATAAGAGGGAAGAGACGAAAACCGAAACATACACCTGGACCAATGAGACAACAGTAAAAACCGAAACAGAGATAACAATTTCGGTTTCAAGAGAAGTTTTAGTTCCAGCTTTAGAATCCGTTGTAGTTTGTACAGCCATACATTTTATTGAGGATTTTCAAGCAAGCTATTTAGCAAAAGCGGTATATAGAGCAAAAAGTTTATCAGTTTCCGAAATAATAAGCGAACTTGCAAAGGACAATATCCGGGACTTATCGGTGGAAAAAGGAAATGTAGTTCTTAACAACTATGACGGAGAATTCATGGGGTCTATTGCTCTAAACACACAATTTATTGTTTCTCCGTATGATGGGTTAGAAGGCTGCAAGCAACTTGTGGCAAATGACAACCAAAGAAAACAAATGAAATTCCGTCAATTTGAATCGAAATTTCGATGAAGTCAAACATGTATTATAAAAGTACAAATAAATATGTATACGATAAGAAATGAATAATATCTTTGACTTATTTCATTAGACTAGAAACGAATTATGTAGCATGAGTATGATTAATTGGACAGTTAATAAAATGTCCATACTGTATGTTTATATATAAATGAGTGTAAACGTGAGAGAAATCAAAAGTACATCAAATTGTTGTTGCTTTCATCATTTCCACAACATTGAACTGAACATAACATAAACATAAATTATTTGGAAATTTTGCACGGCCTTAGTTTCCATTACATGCAAAATAAAATAAAATTTAAAAAACACATCAGAACCTTCTTTACAATTGATTCTTATATTATTAGTTGTATGGTGTAATGCTAAACATTGAAAGATATGTTGGTGAGGAATGTAATGCAATTCCCAATCCAGCAAACCCATCCCATGTGTGGCAGAATATCTTTGACTAGACTGACCATTACTACTCCGTTTCTGGTCCTGCAAGTCGTTATTTTTATTCCTCTCAATTATACTAAGGGTGACGCAATAATGCAACTTCATATTGTGTTTTTCCTTTGTGTCGTTTGTCATATTTCCGGCCAGAACCTTGTTCCCTGCCCGCTCACGTGGGTGCCATCATTTTCGGACACAAGTATTTCAAACTCAGCCGTCTTTACGCAGAAAAATCGTCACGCTGTTATAGCTGCAACTTTATCCTCATCAGCTGAGGAAATTGGAAGATTTTCAGTTTCCGAAAGCGATGAATTACCTCCCTTTGGATTTATTCCTTCGTCCAATGATACGGAAGCTGTTCATCAATTCTCAGCGCTAACCAACTCACTTGGCTGCCAATTGTCCTGGGTAGAACGGAGTGATAGTCGTGTTGGAAGATATGGGGTCAACCGAAGTGGTAAGCTCGTGGGGCGTGCCATGTCTGCTGACAACCTTCTACCAGCTTCAGTAACAGGAAACGTCGCTGTCATTGTTGATTTGGAGGATAAAAGACAAACAACCAATACCTTCTTTGTCCTTATAAGTTACAACAATGGACTACAGCTAACTCTAAAAGACTTCGAATTCGGTGAAATGCAGTACGGGTCAGATGATGTCTATGGTCACGACCAATTAATAAACCACGCAGATGTGGACGTAATGTATTCCGTATCTCACTCAAAAATCACGACAGACACCGTGACAATCACTGAAAGTCACTCAACTACAAAATCATGGCAAATATCTGCCCAAGTAAGCTGCAGTATGCAATTTAAATTTAAGGGAGTCAAAGGCTCCGTGGGAGGAGGAATTGGAGTGGACTTTAGTAGATCATCTGAATCCGGCTGGGAATCTTCTCTCACGCACAGCCAAACCCGAGAAATATCAGTTGCGAGAAGTGTATTTGTCCCCCCAAGAACCTCAATCGTGGCTTGTTCGACGTCATCAGCTGTTGACAATGCACAAGTGCCTTACTCCTGCCTGGCCGAGTATACTTCGCCGGGGTTGAATGGTTCACAAGTTCTTGAAAATGTCATAGAATTCTTTCCCAATGCCATAGCACGTGGGAATACAGCTGTCGTTATTGTCGAAGGAGTGTTTCAGGGGTCGCTGACTGTATCTTCCACTTTTACGATTCAACCATTTGATGCTTTTAATCCATGTACAAGTCTTGCTTCAAATTCTGTATAAATGTTGAAATAAATATAGCAAATTCTGTTCAATCTGTTAAGTTCATTCTGTGATTGTCCATACAATTGCAATTATTTTACGAAAATATACTTTTTTAGGCTCAATAGTATGACCATCATCACTTTCACATTCTGGCTAACAAACATAATGCATATTAATTAATCGGATAAGTTGTTTATGGCTTGGTGCATACATATAAATACATAGACGAACTCGGCTGTGTTGCATGTGTTTGAACACCGATTATCGATATGGGCAAGTTTTAACCAAAATCAGAAACGCGTTTTTGCACCTTCGGCATAATTTTTGGACCAAATATAAATTTCCATATAGCGATATCCACTAGAGGAAAATTTTGCAAATTATCCTCGACAATATTTAGCGTCAATAAAAAGGAATTCTATGGCTCATTTTATGTTTGTTGTATATATATAAACTTATTTGATATATATTTGATAGTGATGAAAACAATGCATATTTAGCTCTGTAACCATTTAACGTTTATATAAGAGTTGGTAATGAATCATTTAAATTAAAAATGATTTTTGCAATCCTTATCAAATCCTTATCAAATGATTTTCTTAATATTTTTAATATTTACAATAGATTAACAATACCATGATGATTTAGCACTATTTCCTTGTCAGTTTGATTTTTCGGGTGATTTGAATACCCTGTGTCAATATTTACATAACAAGCGAGAAAATTAAAGCAGATATGTATAACAATGGAAATAATTGCAAAAGGCCTTTGCACCTTTCATCTGTCAAATACGAAATGCGTGATTACAAATTATTGCCAATTAGTTGTAAGAATGACAAACGGGTTTGGATTTAATTTATGAAATTAATATACACACAGCAATTATAATAAAATTTTTCAAATGATCTTGGTTGGAGAATATGCAACATTCCGATAAAACAAACAATAAATGTCAAGCCATCGTCTCATTTTATATGTGTATAAAGAGGCATTTTTATTAGATTTTCAATTAAAACATATGCCGATTAGAACCTCACACAGTAAATCAACAAAATTTTTTGTCAATCGATATTTGCGGATTTGCTAAATTTCAAAAAAAATATGTCAGCATTGAGTACATATTGTGTACTACATATGTATGAATAAATAAATAAAATAAATACAAAATAAATTAATGAAAATAAATACATACATACGTCAACTTGACTACTGGAATGCTGCATCAAGTGGACTCATGGCTCAATAAGGATTAAGTCAGTAGGTCACTGTCAACTACATAAGCATTTAATAAGCCCAGTTCCATCACTGCCAGAAGCCTTTGTGCTCTGAAATTATGTATTATCAACATATCAAAGTATTCCATGATCCCAGCTCAATCAATGTCATAAAGAGGGGTATGTGGAACTAAATTATGTTTATCCTTAAACCAGAATTATCTGAGAAGCTCAGAAAATTTCCCCATGATGTATAATAATTAATCCATAATTCTCTGTAAACCCCATGTTAAATATGAGGCAGGATTTAGAGCTGATATTTTTTTGCGCAGTCTTGATCATACTTGTGTAGGTTTAAATTTGTACACATAATTCCAACACTCAATCAATGTCGAGGGTTACAACAATTTATTTTGCTTAAATCCTTCTGCCTATCCTCATCACTCATCACTCAACAAAATGAATGCTTAAGTTTCAGCGGCATTGGTTCAGAAATCCTGAAATTCAAAAAATTTATTTTATGTCATCATAATGGAGCGTTTGCAAAAGGATTATGCTCTCATTTTAGGTCAACCAATGTCGCTATGAGAAATGCCTGAGATACGAGTCAACCTTAGGTTAAACTAATTTGTGGCTGGTTATACCACCGACTTTGTTATTGAGATGGGATGAATTATGTCATATCTACGGTTTAGTCGCTTTATCACCCGTTCTAGTCGTTGTAAGTGGTATTAAATTTAAAAAATTACAACAGTGTAACATCCATCCCTTTTGGTAGATTTCAAACTTGAGGAACTTCGTTGATTCTTAAACTAATTTGTTATATTTTGTTCTTAAAATATTTGAACGAACAAATATTAAGCGCATGCTAATCTACTTAAGCCCAGTTCAATCACTGCCAAACAGGCACCGGGGATTTGTGCTCGAGCTTATAAATTATGCATAGTTCACATCCCTGTTAGGCACGAAAATATTTCATGATCCCCGTTCAATCAATGTCATGCAGAGACGTAGATAGTTTAAAATTTTCGTAATTACAGGAATCGATCAATGTCTGGGTTAAGCAATTTATTTTAAATAAATCCCTCTGCCCACTACTCAATCAGCCAACTGATCAGTCAAAATATTTGAATGCTTACGTCGCAGCGGCATAAGTTCTGGAATTCTTCTTCTAAAAAAATGTAGTTCATGTCATCGTTATGGGAGCGTCTGCAAAAGGATTATACTGTTGTTGTGAATAACTCCATCAATGTCAGATTATGGGAAATGCCAACGATACAAGTCAGCCTTAAGTTACATACACCAATGTGTGGCTCGCTTACGCCATCGCCTTTGTAATTGACATGAGATTAACGATGTCATATCTTCAGTGCATGCCGACAACAGACGAAAAAATGCACGTGAGTCTTTGTTTGTTTGTGATTAATACATTGGTGTGTGTTTCGACTATTTCTCAATTACACAATTTGACAACCGTGTCAAACTAAGAGGACAAATATTTCGTTCAAATTATTGTAACTATGATTAATTTCAGTTGAAAGTGACGCCATAATTGTTCAAGAAAGGGGAAATCAATGTATTTATTCGACGTTATTCTCATTTTATGCTCACGTTATTCTCAGGATTATCTAGTTTTTGGGATTTTATTTATGTAATGCTTGAAAATTTTCATTGTATAATCTAGTGTCAGTCGTTGTCAATTGTATTCAATTAAAAAATTTGCCATTTGTTGCATCCGTTCGTTTTCTACTTCAACCTTGAATGAATTCGTAAACTATTTTCTGGATTTTCTTGATTTTGTCCTTAAAATATTTGCATGGACAGTCGGACCCTTAAATTGTTTGCATATTTTATGATCCTGTGAACAGCTGTGTACGCCAGTATATGTGGAGTCATAAATACATTCGTGTCTGGACAAGTAAATTCTTGCACTTTTATTTAAATTTTTCATGAAATAAAAAATGGCTAAGTCGACATATAATCGCGTTAAAGTCTGACGACGATCCGAGTACAAATATCGGAGAGGAGGAGTTGTACACAATAACTAGCGTTTGTCCATAAATAATAAACTGTAGAGTTGCATTAAATTGTATTTATGACATTTGCTACGTCGGAAAGCTTGCACAAGAAAATGTATATAATCCAAAGCTAGTAATTCTAATTCCTAAGGCTCGTCACCGAACGGTGTCACTATCAGGCCCCGATTTTGGGGCAGGCAACCCGGGCAATTGCCCGTGGCGCCCAATCTCAGGGGCGCCGACAGGCGCTTATGCCCTCAATAAGAATGTAGGGTTATATAATTTTGGACAAATACTGTCATTTACTCTAATGTAGATTGAATCGTGTTAGGTTTCAATACCATAAGGTATTTATTTTCGATTCTTATATAAACATTTAATACATACGTAAATTTTTCATGTATTATACATAAGTTTTGGCAAAATCAAAATATTCCAAAATTCATATTAACAAACTCAGAAAAATGAAACTCTTGCTTATTGATATTTGTTGTTATGTTTGGTCTAGCGGACATTGGGTTGTCTTAAAAAACTTTTGCAGCCGTGTTTCAGGCACCTCCTAATTTTCAAGTCAAGTCAAATAATAATTAATTAATTAACTAAATATTAGAAGCGTAACATATAAAAAAGAAGTACCGTCTGAAAATGCCTTAAATCATGTGGTAAAAAATGCATCGAGATAAATTGACCTATATATAGAACAAACGGCGACCAAATCTCAAACATGAAGATACTTTTCATACAAACTTTACTTTACCTTAGCTGATGATCATGTATAGCTGAAGGTCAAACAAGTTCGGAGATATGTAGAAACCATGCTCTTCCACAAGTGACATATAAACTAAACTACTATATACATATGTATGTATGTAAACTATATGTAGATATATAAAACTAATTGTAGCACTAAATAAAACTTGACAAGTATTTTTGATTTTTTCTTAAAATACATATTTTTTACATCAAAATCATTGAACTCGTTTATGTTTTGCACAAAGTGTAGAAAAGTTTACCCAGTCAATTGGATCCATATATAGTGCTTTATTAAGAACAAATCGTCCCTTGAGTTTCCCTGTTATTCCGACAACAACTCTATCGTTTTCATCGATTGTTCCGGTCGTCCTTCCCCAAATATTCAACATATGTTGGATATGTGTCCCCGGCACCCGATCAGACTCAAATATTAAATTTGCAAGAAACGGAATTTCCACCTGTTCAAGAATATAAGCAACCGAACATATTTCAAAAGTTGCCTGGGCGTTAATTGTAACTACGCCTGATGTGGAATATGAGTCTTGTGTTACAAAACTGATGGTATTATCTTTCTCTCGAACGGATATCGTTTGCAACCGCTCTGAGTGAGTGAACGGCATGGTAAAGGCTACGCTAACCTTTTCTACCCCAATCCAGTTAAAATCGTCCTCGAAAAACGTGAAGTTCTCAATAAAAGATTTGCTATGGTTTATATTAATTTGAGAAGATATAGGAAGGTCTTGACCTATCTCAAGTTTCTCTTGACCAAAAACTGAAGTAACCGAGTCGGATTCGCGGATGAACGATGTTTCGTATTTTATGTCGACTAATTTTACTTGCAGGGGAGGATAGGTGGAAAATAATATCTCACTTTCCCAATTTATTGTGGGCGACCCGGGGGTCGGAAGTAGATTTTTCTTATTCTGAAAATATGTTGCACAGTAAGATTGCATCCCGGCCTCACCCCTCGTGACGTATCCATCATCTGGTCTACTGGGATCAACGATGACAGCAGTTGCTAAATCTCCACTGGGTTCCCTCCAAGAGATGTCACAATAATCCGGAACCGTCAGTGTTCTGTAGGTGTCGTACTCAATAATTTGTTCAGCCTCTGAGACCACATATGCCTTTCCGTGGGACGCACTAAGGTGTCCTAAATAATAGTCCATCAATATCTTTATACACGATTATAACTGCGGATTAACGATAAAAATTTTCCACTCTGTGATCAATTTAATTACCTGATATCCAACTTCCTTCGTGGAAACATTGAGCAATAAATTCACTGGTTCCTTCAGCACATCGCACTGAACCGGATGCCGTCCTACCGAGTCCGGATGGGTTGGTGGTCAATGGACAATAAATTGAATAGGCCTTGCCATCACTTCCGATATTTAAATCTAAAAGCAATATAAAACCTACGATATTAAATATTTTTGACATGGTTAAAACGAAATATTCAACTTGTACCACTCTGAAATGACTCTCCTACACAGAATGTTCATCCGTGATTGTCATATCTTATCGCTACCCACTTGTCAATATTAGGGTCGGGGCGCATTAGTGTGGACACGAGGCAAGTTTTCGATGGCAAAGCCGCACATTTGTAATGCACAAAAAATGTCATAATGTACTACCACTATTCGTGCTCCACCTTGTAAATTTAGAGAAATTACAAAAATAATTATCTCACTGAATTATTAAGCTGAAAATTTTGTAATTTAAAAACTTTTGGATTCAATTCCATCTGGCGACTTTTCAATTTAGACTTCATCGAAATCACATAAGGCAAGTATTATATTTAATTTTATCCTCAAGTATAGACACCTATAGTATAATTCTCTATTAATTTGAAATGCAAATAATGGTGTCCACACTAACCCACCAATATCAAGAATTGAGGGGTTAGTGCTCCAGAAAAGCGCGCTACTGGGGGTATTTTCATAGTTTCTTGTAATCATTTATTAAGTAGTACGTTTCATTTTATATAAATTTTCATTATATAGGTAATGCTAGGAAGACGACGACCGTTCTCGTCTGTGTGAATGCTAATGGAGATAAGCTCAAGTCACAATTTTGAAACTTCCCCCTCACACCTCCCACATTTTGCAGCCACTTGACGTTAGCGTGTTCAAAGGAGTAAAACGAAATGGGATTTATTGTTAAGAGAATGGACGAGGCATAATTATGGCAAGCAATTACCCAAAACACGAATTTGACAATATTCTTGGGAAAGTATGGAATTCAGTAAATCCAGATGTAATCAGAAAAGGCTTCGAAAAGTGTGGGATATTTCCGCTTGATAGAATGCGAATTGACCTGAAGAACTTTGATCCTGTTAAGCTTAGTCGATCCAAAACCGAATTCGAGAACGCCAGGAAAGTACCGATAGTTTGGAAACTCCTTCCCCTCCACTTCCCTCACCCAACATTGAACAAGTAACTACAGCAGGAGCTTCATTGCCATTAATCACTCGAACCCCTTCTGCTATTATGCAAAGTAACTCGTTTGAAACTCTTTTGCTGAGAATGGCTACTCCACAAAACGCGTCACCTGCTAAGAAAAAGAGACGAATTGAAAATGCAGAAATTATTACTAAAAGTAGTTATCTTCAGCAGCTCCAAGATAAAGAAATAAAAAATCGCCAAGATTCCGAAATCAAAGCAGAAGGGAAGCTTAAATTGCTTGAAAAAAGAGCAGAATCCAAAAAACTCAAAGACAACAGCAAATCGGAGAAGTATTCAAAATCTACGAAAGAAAAGAAGCCAGAAAAAGCTAAGCCAGTCAAAGTATCAACAAGAACGTCCACAAGAAAGAAAACTGGAGAAAGACGGTGCACTTTTTAATATTTCTGTAATTAAAAAATATGCCACACTAACCTCACGTTTATCCACACTAGCCCCATTTGGTGAGGTTAGTGTGGACATTTGTTTTTAGTTTTCGATAACTGATTACTGCTAATTCCAATAATATTTCAAAACTTTTCTTTGTCATAAAATAAAGTCAAATAATTGAGGAATAAAACCTGATTTTCAAATTAATTGTTTTCAACATGCAACAATTTTTATTTTACTGAAGAACGCAGACTTGAAAAAGTGTCCACACCAATACGCCCCGACCCTATATATTCCAATTAACACGGCGGTTAAAGGATAAAGGTATATCGAGCAGGTCATGGCTTAGTTTTATAATTGTCAAACTGTCGGCCACTTTACAGAACAATTCCTATCATCCATCCAGTCATTGATAATTTCAAGTCTTATTGGATAATTGACAGTGGAACATATTCAATAAATCTCTACAAAACCCACAGGCATATACTATGCGTGAGCAACTTTTATTAGTTTTGTTATGTATATGTATGACAAGAGCAAAGTGTGCATTTTCCATCCCATCACTATCCAACTGCGTTTATACTCAAATACACATTTACATAATGGTGCCCAATAATTATGCAAATAAGGAAGATATGGCTAGTTAATGAGAAAGAGAGAGAGTTGCGATTTGGTAGTGATTAAAATAAAATTCCTAAACGCTGCTCGCAGTGTGACTACTATAGAATGACGCGGAGAACTTATCCATTGCATAGTTAACATGTCTGAATACATTGTGTTACACACTTGTTGCCATCGATAAGATAACTATCGTTCCTATAAAGAGACACCACTAGCCATAGAACTTGGCACTATTCTGGTCCTTGCATCACTAAAATGACGTCGAACCAAATATACACCAACTTTTGTACACGGATAATTTTTATTATTGTATCCCTATCATTGCAGGTACAGCCTGAGAGGATTGTTAATACCCCCATAGTCACCACTTTTGGGGAATGGCAGGAGTGGGATTCTTGTCCCGAAGGTACATTCGCGACAGCAATGGATATTCAAACCAGGGAACTCGACACCGCTAGGGGAGTCAAGGATAAAACTGGCATTATTAGCGCAGTTTTCCAATGCTCTTATCCCTTCACCCCAAATATAGCTGAGCATTTCATATACACCAAGGTCAAAGGAGTAACAAACCGAGTGTTCAACGGCACTACCAAAGAATCACAGTTAAAGGATGGATTAGAAATAATTCACTCCCTTCCTTTGCGAGCTAGCTGTGATGGGATAATTGTCAGTGTCGAAGTAATGAACTATGAGAAGCAACTAGCCCTCGATAACACGGGGGCATCAAACTTAAGGATCTACTGTTCTGACATGACCGAAGATGACACTGCTTACGTAGAAGGTTACGGAATTTATGATGGAGAATGGTCTTCCCCAGTGTCTTGCGGGGCAAGGCGAGGTATTTGTGGAATGCAAACTCTTTCTCAGGACTTGTTCACAAGTAAGCTAAAGTTTGCCTTAAAATGTAATCTGAACAATTACAATACCAATCTTTGTTGCTCTTATGTGTAGGCATGGACGAATCTGCAGTCAATGCTTTCCGTTTTAAATGTTGCGAGATCAGCAATCCTGCCAATTCCTGCCAACCATCAGAGGAGTGGGAACTGGTACAGGAATGTCAGAATCCAGGGAACTCTACTCCAGCGTTTACTTGTGCATACGTCAGAAAAACAGGAGTGTCCTCTTTGGCGACGGGAAACCACGAAAACCATTCTGCGAGAAGTTTTTATAACTCGGTTGGGTTTGATTTAGGCTCAGCAGATTATTTGATGTTAAATTCTCTGAAAAATAACTTTGCCGATACCTTTTCCATAAGCAAATTGTCGACGGCACTTGATTGGTCTGCAACCGGACTAGAAATTTGGGTACCCGAGAAGTCTGAAGAAGTAACTTATTACTCAGTTCCCACGGGTAAATCTGTAAAAATTTATCAACTAGTGGGAACTTGTTCATACTTTTCAGTTAGGACGCCCATTGTCAAACAAGTTACTTCTTAGTAGACAAAATGAATGAGACAAATAAATAATATGTATCTATTTCTAATTGTAATTGTTTACCAATAATATGCAAGCTCCACTCGATTTTAATCAAAGAATGCGATACGACATTATAAAAAAATTATGAAAATCGTTATATTCATCTCCATCTCAATAATGAAGGTACCTGTCAAAAAATTAAATAAATTATCATTGAACCATTAGTATTTTTCAATAAATTCAATTTAAATTACTTCAAACGATGGCTGCAGCCCGTATCACATGATTATGCTTGGTATTTGTAAATGATTGTTAGTATATGTATAAGTCCATGTGTTATGTGACAATATTACTTTATTATTCAAAATAGATTATAAGATTTAAAATTTTATTTCCTCACTGTGTAATACGGGCATTTGCATTCCAGACTAATCGACACCACTAAACTCAATATGTTTGACAATACAGAGTTTTTTACATGCAAGCTTACGGCGGGGAGTCTAAAATCAAACCAATGATAGGATGCTTTTAGTTTAACATGTACTTGTTCTAATCTATTTCAATCTAACAGTAACCTAAGCTATATAGACTAATTAATATGTAAAGGCCAAACTTAAACAGCGAGTATGGAATTTTTCGAGTGTAAATAATTTTTAAACTTAAAGTTTTGTAAGACATTTGTTTATTTTATAAATCTCATCTCTCACTTATTTATTATAATAACTCAGTTTGTAATTTTCGAAAATAACATTCTTCTTTGCTGTTTACGCAACCTTGACCTTTCATTCTCGATATCTAACTCCATCTCACTACACCCATATAGAGCATCAATTGGAGTAACAATAAATTGGGTGCTCAAAGACATTGACCCTGTAAGAGTTCCTCTAATTTCAACTACGGCAAACTCCCGCTCAGCATAAGCCTGAAGGTCGGTCTCTTCCCTAAGCAAGTTTACTACTTGACTACCGGTCATCCCTGGAGCTTTGTATCTACCCAAGCATGTGTATGGCAACGTAAAATTCTCCTTTGATTTAATCGTTGAGCAGGCCTGTATTCTTGTTAATGGTGGGACAGCAATTGTTCTGCTAACTTCAATGTCACGCGATCTAGTGGTGCTTACTTCTTTTTCCATCCCGCTCTCCCATGACATTCCAAACTCGACCCCGAGCCCAACCCCAGCTTGAATAAATTCTAAACCTGCGCTCACGTCAACATTTACTGAGATTGAGAAAGACGTCGTTTGACTTTCATGTTCGCTAAATGTGAAACTTTCAGTTACACTTTTGGAATGCGTAACTGTTTGGGTGACTTCAACTTCCGCCTCGTTCCTTATTTCATCCAAGCCCATAAAATCTAACCCTTCTGAATTATCGTTGGTAAATTCAAAATCGCTGAGTAAAAGCGAGAGCCCCTTTGAATAACTAATTAAAACGTAGAATTCCCTACTTGTCTTCTGTACTTTATTCAAATCCACATAAACGATTTCCGCTCCAGATATGAACCCCGGAAGTAATGTATTATCAGTTGAATCCATCACCCTGCCAATTCTTTTACCTTCTAATTCAAACGCCAGTTTTTGTATTCTTTCGTCCCCTGGCAAAACCCACTCGGTTAGACAGTCATAGACATTGTTTAAAGCTTGATAAACTTGGAGCTCCTTCACCGTGGAGGAATTTGGAATAAACGCTGGTCCATTGGTTCCGTTGGTTGCGGACATTCTTCCGATCGTACCTTGTTCTGGTCCGGTGGTACCCTTGATGACAAAATGCGTCCCCATTTGACTCGCTATGGATTTTGCTGGAACTTTTCCATCCGTTGCAGACGTGACCCAAGTTAAGTTGCATTTCAATGGGCCAATGGGTTCTGCATTTGTTGGGACAACCAAAGTAATCCCAATGGTCAAAAGAATGATAATATCCCGAGCAGCATACATTTCTGTAAAAAAGGAAGCCTCACACATAAAAACTCGTAATTTTAATTATTGAGAAAACCAAATTCTTTTCACACCGATTACTCTAAGCTGAAATGAAAGAGGAACAGGAGGATCGGATATGAATGAATAGGTCCGTTTCTCAGTTTTAATGAACAAAATGGATATACTGAGTTTCGTAAAAAGTCTAATTCGCCAAGGAGTCAAGATATTTTTGCACTAGCACTGAATGGTTGAGTATATTTAAATAAATGAAAATTACTGTGGTTTTGGTAATTACAAGTACTTTTACGTAATAGAGATGGGGAATACAGGACCTAAATCGGCATATGATCAATTCATAGTAAGTACGACAGCTGGAACTAGGCAGCCAAATTTTATAAATAAAATCGGTTAATTTGCTTCAGGCTGGAAAACGTAATGAAGCCAAAAAGCACGTACAATGCATAGTCATCTGCCTTCAGTTAGTGAACATCGTTCTGCTCCAGCCAGGATTGCATTACCTAGTGATGATAGGACTTGCCTGTCCGCCCAATCTATCATAATTTATTTATCATAATATGTATGTATGTCTCTTCAAGTTAATTATCATATAATTCCGCACATATATGCAGATAGGCATGTAACCAGTAACATATGAGGAGAAACCATCCGTAGTTGTTCTTGCCCCATATTTAATTATATATCCCCACTTTGATACATTGCAGGATATATCGTAGGATTATTGAGTTGTACGTCTATACCGTGACCTAAAATCTATCCTTACTTGAAGCACAAAGGTAACTTAAAGCAATATTACAAACATAATATTAAACAATATTATGTTTTTGTATCCACATCATTACAATGCTTAGCATTCGCCATTTAGGTAGAAAAGAAATGTGTATCATATTTGCTGAATGACTACATCGCACCTACATGCACATTTAGACAGCTCATTTTTACATCACCAGGAGTTCCAGGGGAATTTGAGACAGCAATTTTTACACTTTTTAATCTAAAATGTTAGTAAAAATACTAACATGTTTCTGCTTGCTATGCAACATTTCGGTACAGAAAGGGGTCTCTCAGGGAAACACAAATGTGCAATGTAGATTTTCATGGGTTCCATTTTCCATTGGAAATAATATCCCGTCCTCAGCTATCCAAATTGATGGTAAATACGTACTAAGTGACGACTAAAGTTTAATTGGCGAAGAAATATTAAGTCTAAAATTGTGACTTCTTTAACAGACAAGGAGGAATTTTTCCCTTCTTACCCCATTCGAGCTTGGTTTGAAGGAAGCACCTACGCCGGGACCTACGACATGTCTATTGATTTCCCACTGCTGCCTATTCAGATACAATACGACAACAATACTGAACCTTTTTCTTTAGAAATCCTAACAAATCCTCACGGCTGTAATTTTACATGGAGTGGAACCCGTTCCGGTATATATATCTCGAAAAATGCTCAATGGGTCGAAACAAATAAATCCACAGAAACTTATGTTAGCAGAGCAAAAATTGATGATGTATACATAAGTGGTCAAACACAATTAGATAGAAATTCACAATATTACTTGTCAGTTGGGGTTCTTAACGAGGATGCCAATGGTACAGACGTAACCACAATCAATGAAGGATTCCAATTCTTGTGCGGCTATTCAGATGGATTGGAATTACATTTGATCCAGATTGAATTTGAACAAAGACCTTTCGGTGGACAGCCGGACTTTGTTGGCATTGACGAAATCCACAATCTGGCTAATACCTTGGTCACGCAAAAGGTTTCCCATAGGAAAAGTATCCGACAGGAGACAACCATCACTATTACTGAAACATGGACCACAACAACGACAAAAACAGTGACGATCAACTTGATATTTTATAAGAAAAAGAAAACCGAGACGCACACAACTACCCACTCTGTGTCAAATTCATACACAACAATTGAAGAGACGGATATTGAGATAATGCGGGAAATTCAAATTGCCCCAAAGACTAGCGTACAAGCCTGTTCCACAGTCACAATCATGGAAGGTTCCCAGGTCAGATATACTGCTCTAGCAATGTACAAGGCGAGGGGAATTGGCCCCGAAGAACTGCTCGCAATGATATCGACAGAATTAAAAGATGTAGATCCATGGATTGAGGGGAATGATATCTATTTTGAAATGACAGATACAATTTCCTACAGTCTTGCCATGGCCACAAGTTTTATTGTGGTCCCATACGAGGCAATTAATGGATGCAGCTCCTTACAACAAAGTATTTCTACCAAGAGAAAATCTAGAAGAAACGCGTCCTTGAATGATACGAGCTCAAATAAATTTATTAAAGAAGAACTCTAAAAAAGTTCCTACAATAAATCTACAGAAAACTTTTAAAAAATGTATGTGTATTGTCAAATTTCTTGTTCATATCTCCCTTTCCCCAACACATCAAGTCATCAATCACACTTAACAGTTACGTAGAAAACGATGATGCACATATGTATAGATAAGCAGATTAATCAACTCGGTTCAACCTCGACATATGTAAATTACAGTATTTTAATTGATTGACTCTTAGTGTGAGAACTAGCTCGACGATAACTGGATAACTTGTATACTGAAATCATTTCACCGTATTCAAATTCCAGTAAGCTTCTGCTTTCTTTCACTTTGACACCAATTTGTATTCGATAAACAGATTCAGGTACAAGTGCCGGGTATTAGGGACTTTATACCGTTGGAACGTCACCCAAAACTTCCGTCAACTTTTGCAAGTAACCTTAGATCTGCCCCCACATCTAGCATAATTTAGCGGGTACCGTTTCCATGGGCCCAAATTTAAGTATAGTTCATGTTGGAAGATTTTGGAAAAATATTTGTAATCTTTCAAAATAACAATCTATTGCATAATGAAGAACCACAATATAGAAAATTGTAAAATCGAAAATCTGTACCAAATTTCTTGGATCTGGAAATATCGAAATCGGAACCTATTTATAATTTTTGTTAATTTTCCCGCAATTTCTTTTTGAGATGACTTCTCCGAACCACTGACAATCAATGCATCAGCGGAAGTTACTTGCGTGGGAAATTAATGAAAATAATAACTGGGTAAATATTATGCGGGCCCACTTTTACCCCTGGCCCAAATTTCCTATCCTTCAGCACTTGTACCTGACAAACAATTATCTATCATTAAAGGAAACATGTCCTGGAATCGTGTCGCCATAGTTATTCTCTTAATCCAACGGTTTGAGCCAAGCAATGCGGACTGCAAGGTTCCCTGTCCACTCCAATGGGTCAAGTATAACAGTGAGACAACAAATTTTACCTCGGATAAGCTTGTTTTCTCATACGGGGAGACACAAATAATATCACGTGCAAAAGGAGCAGACGGAAAGTATCATGCTGGATATTTCGATATTCTGCTTCAATCAGCATATATTCCAATTTCACCATACGCTTTTGCAGACGTCGAGTTACTTAACAACCAACATAACTGCACCATAGGCTGGAGTTTTCCAGGTGACAACAATGACAAAATTCGCGTCTCCGTTGACAGAGAACGAAACGGTACAACTTTCATTGGTCGATCAACCAGCTCCTTTTTCTCGTTTTTGCCTGGCTACATTCCTTTCGTTTCTGTAGGCGAAGTAGAAGATGGAGAATTAAAATTTATACGTAGTCCAGCAAATCTTAACGTTGAAGTTTCCCCAATTTATAACTTTTTGACATCTACATCACAAGGACTGAATTTACATTTAAAGGATTTTAATTTCACGTCAGACCCCAATGTCGGGAATTTTAGGGTAATGAATGTAGAATCAATTGACAATTTTGCAGATTGCATAGTTTCCCAGGTAGTCACGCATTCAAAGGTTGTGACGACAACTCATTCCCTCTCTGAGTTTGGCAGTAGTTCTAAATCGTGGGGAATATCAGCCTCCGTCACTTATACGTTTGGATCAAAAAACGTTGGGGCAAGTGGAAGCATTTCTGGAGGTTACTCTGAAGAAAATACAGATAGATGGTCCGAGACCCTTGCCACTAGTAAGGAATCCCGAATAACAATAAGTAAAAATATAACAGTAGGGCCTCAAGAATCTATCTTAGCATGCTCCGCAATTAAGATAAGCGATAATTTCCAAAGTGACTACGTTGCCAAGGCCGAATACTCGGCTCCGGGTCTAAAAGGTTGGGAAGTAGCTAATATATTAGATTGCTATGGTTTCATGAACATTTCTGTTAACGAAAACTCCGCTTGGTTTTATACCGAGGGTAGCTACCAGGGTTCTTCATCCATTTCTACACATTTTCATGTATCACCAAAGGATAGTAACATAAATTGTCGCAATCTAAAGGAATTTGGTATTTCAGAAAGTCGGCTCTAATGAGTATTAATTTTTTATTTTATACGACATACGACACGACAGTTCATTCACTACTCTATTTACGCTCATCAGGAAACGACCAGACCTATTTATAGGGAACAGTAATCCTACATACATATACTAATTAAATGCACAGTTTATGTGTTTCGTAATGTAATCAGAGCCGTACCGCCAAATTCTCGGGCCTGGTATAGATCGGCATTCGGGGCCTTTTTATGGCATTTTTATTTCGCGCGAGAAATTGGCACTTGTTTCAATCGGTATTTGTTTTTTGTGCGGACAATATTTTTATATGCGTGCATAAAATACACACAAATGCAAAAAAATTAATGTAAAGGCAGAAGTCAATTAGTTTCATGCTACACTTTCATGGACGCTCATATATTGTTAAACGTTTAATAGTTGAAATGGTATAAAGTTCAAGCAATTGCGTTGTACGCAATTACATTATTTTTGCGCGCTTTGTGCATTTCTGTGCACTTTTTTTGGATTTTGAGTTGGTGTTATTAAACGCAAAAAAACATTCGTATGCACTAATTTTGTGCAGGTATTATGTATCAACAGAAACACTGGTTTAAATGCCCCAAACAAAGAGCAAACATTTTTAGGACTATAATTGGCCAAAATTACTTGTACGATTTGAACTATAAAGAATTGGATTGCATGTTTTATGTAGTTGTGGTTAAATACATATTTATAGTGCACAAGCAACAATCTGCATTTGCATATGTACATATTTATATACCACAGAACTTACGTATGTATGTAGTGGAGAACCACCATGTGAAAGTGATAACAAGGAGGGAGTAAAAAATATGCACCAACATATTTAGTTATTAGGCAACTTGGGAAGATTTCACGTAAACGGAAAATTTTTGACTCCCGCTGGAAATTGGCTCCTCCTTTCGAACTTTTCGTTTACGTTAACTTACGTAAACGGAAAATTTAACGTAAAATGAGCCACTTTTACGTTCAATTTTCCGTTTGCATAATTAGTTATAAAATCGTCAGTTTTAGATGGAATTAGGGCAAATTTTATCATACAAGGGGCAAGTATGTTTTAGTATCCCATAAATCGACGAAAACTCCCAAGTGGTCCCATTTACGTCCACCACACCCACTCCAATGGGAAGAAAAGCGAAAATGTCGTTTTTCGCGTGTTTAAACCTTCGGCAAAAATCCAGTTTTCATCCAATTTTGAAAATTCTTGCACTATTGTGATACCAGATAGCTGTGTTGTTATATTCAACACTGAAATAAACTTTTTTGAAATTTTGAATTTTTTCAATTGAAATCATTTTCTAAAAGTGGAAAAAATTATTTTTGATATTGGATATGAGAAAGCAACTATCTGGGATCACAATGGTGCAAGAATTTTCAAAATCTGATAAAAATTGGATTTTGGCCGAAGGTTTAAACAAGCGAAAAACAACATTTTCGCTTTTCCCTTTGAGTGGGTGTGGCGGGCGCAAATAGTGCTATAGAATCAAACCACTTAGGGATTCTGGTAAACCGACCGGGAACTAAATTAAGGCATAAAATGTGAGGCTCTCCTTGGAAATTTCAAGCACTAAAACTAATTTGAATGCATTTTTGATATTTCCGTTAAAGTGTGTGTTAAAACTTTGTTGCCCAAACTGAATTTGTGGACGGAAAACGCAAACTTAAAAATTAACTACGCCTCCTCGTTTTCCGTTAACGTTTACGTATTCGTTCATCTTCCCAAGTTGCCTATTGATAATGCTCAGTTGAGAATTTAACCAGACAAGAAACAAAATGTACTCCAAATATGTAAATACATACGTAATGGAATCACATTACATAATTACTTATGTAACAAAAGTTTTGCTAAATACTAAATTTCTAATTTAATTTTTTCATAGGCGGGTTCAATTATATCTAGTGTAAAGCACCTGGTCAGGCCCGGGCCCTTGGGGCCCCGGGCCTGGTCTTCCATACCACCTTATACCACCAGCGGTACGCCGCTGAATGTAATATTAACCTATGGTCAATTTTTTATGATTTTGGCAACGACAAACCGGCCCTTTTCGTTATGTTGTAACAACTGAAAGAAATTTAAAAAATTGTGAAAATATATAATTTATAAATATTGTTTCTGTTAAATTTGAAGTATAATATATATTTATATTAAAAGATTTATACTAATGTACATTATGTATACATATGTATGTAATTCAGATTTGAAAAAATAGGTTACTATTCTTTTATAATTGAATTCTATAAATTGTCTTATACAGTCCTTCCTAAATATGTAGCACATATCAGAAATAAATTTTAATCTAAAATAAAATTATGTCATTCACTTTTGCATTTATTGTCGGTATACATTGAAGATATAACATAGTTAATCCCATTCAACTACAAAGTCGATGGTGTAAACGAGCCACAAATTGGTGTAGCTTGACTCAAATCGCTGGCACTTCTCATTATGACATTGATTGACCTAAAATGATAGCATAATCCTACGCTTCGATTACGGTGATATAAAGTAAATTCGCCGAATAGGAGGATTATCGAACCAATGCTCCTGCAACGTATTTTTTGACTGATCAGTTAGCTGATTGAGTAGTGGGCAGAGGGATTAACCTAAAATAAGTGGCATAATCCAGACATTGATTGATTCTTGTAATTACAAAAATTTTAAACTATTTACGTCTCTAGATGACATTGATTGAACTGGGATCATGAAATATTTTCGGTAACAATGATTTCGAGCATAACAGGGATTTGCATTGTACATACATAATTTTTAAGCTCAAGCACTAATCCCCGGTGCCTGGCTGGCGGCGATTGAACCGAACCAACGTGTATGACAGTAATGTATGACTTTAATCCATATCCACTGGAAGCCGCATTCCAGTGACTAACATGACATAAGCATTTATTTTTGTCTATCTCAATAACCTAACAACTATGCACTGAATTTTCATTTTATAATTTTTTGAAGTTATTTTTGCAAAATGTCAGAAAATAACCAAAATCAAATGCTGGCGCTACTTTATGCTAATTAATTTATCTGCTGGGTATGGGTGTGCTATTATCAAGCGTCTTTAACATGCGTCTTGTTTTAATTGAGGGGGCTTAATGCAAATGAAAACTAAAAAATAAACCCAACAGGTAATACCAATTAACAAAAATTTTATTTCCGTAAATTTGCTAACATGCATATTGGAATATTGGTATTTACTTAGATTTGGCCAAAACACTCTACACGTTCGGTAATTCATTTCATAGCTATACCCGATTTTTGACAGGGTTTGCTTTTACGCTTTCTTCATTAAGGTCACTAACGCTAAAGAGTATGGGGGTAAGTAATTGTATGATGATATATTTTGTTTCCGTTGGTAATGTAGTTGCAAATTTGCTCCATAATATGTTGCTATGGAAACGATCTCACGGGTTACTGAAATCACCAGATTTACGAAAACTTAATTTTGCACGTAAATATTGCGAATAAGAGGTTCCAATTAAATTGCATACATAAAATCCAAGATGTGTGATAGGTAGACTTCTTGTCGGAAGTTGTTGATAGTTAGTATCTACGTAAGGCAGATTTTAAGGTGTTGTCAAAATAGTTGTTGAGATCATCCTTAAATGTTAAACCTTAAAAAATGATGGTACACGTCAAAAATCTAAGTATATATTATTTATACAAGAACCGAAATATATTACGATTCAATCACCGATTCAATCTGCATTAGAGCAAATGACAGAATTTACCCATTATTATGTAACCCTACATATTTATTTGTTACAATAATAAAATTAAATAAACGTATAACTGTAAGCATGTCCATCGCGTAAATGTCATACACATTTGCATTAGCAAGAATGATAAATCTTAGGGATTTGAATGTCTAGGTTTTGATTGTTGAATTATATACATTTTCTTATATTTACAAGCCTTCTGACGTTGCTATTGTCATAAATAAAATTTTTTGATGGATGGCAGTACGCTGCCCCGACATATACTGGAGTACACAGCTGTTCACAGGATCATAAAATATGCAAAAAATTTATGGGTCCGCCTGTCCATGCAAATATTTTAAGACCAAAATCAAGAAAATCCAGAAAATAATTTACGAATTCATTCAAAGTTGAAGTAGAAAACGGACGGATGCAACAAATGGCAAATTTTTTAATTGAATACAATTGACAACGACTGACACTAGATTATACAATGAAAATTTTCAAGTATTAAATAAACAAGATCCCAAAAACTAGATAATCCTAAGAATAACGTGAGTATAAAATGAGAATAACGTCGAATAAATACATTGATTTCCCTTTCTTGAACCATTATGGCGTCACTTTCAGCTGAAATTAATCATGGTTACAATAATTTGGACGAAAGATTTGTTGTCTTAATTAGACACGAGTTGTCAAATTGTGTAATTCAGAAATAGTCGAAACATACACCAATGCATTAATCACAAACAAACAAAGACTAACGTGCATTTTTTCATTTATTGTCGGCATGCACTAAAGATTTGACATCGTTAATCTCATGTCAATTACAAACGCGATGGCGTAAACGAGCCACACATTGGTGTATGTAACTTAAGGCTGACTTGTATCGTTGGCATTTCGCATAATCTAACATTGATGGAGTTATTCACAACAACATCATAATCCTTTTGCAGACGCTCCCATAACGATGACATGAACTACATTTTTTTAGAAGAAGAATTCCAGAACTTATGCCGCTGCGACGTAAGCATTCAAATATTTTGACTGATCAGTTGGCTGACTGAGTAGTGGGCAAAGTGATTTATTTAAAATAAATTGCTTAACCCAGACATTGATTGATTCCTGTAATTATTAGCATTTTAAACTATCTACGTCTCTGCATGACGTTGATTGAACTGGGATCATGAAATATTTTCGTGCATAACAGGGATGTTAATTACGCATAATTTATAAGCTCGAGCACAAATCCCAGCGCCTGTTTGGCGGTGATTGAACTGGGCTTAAGTAGATTTGAATGCGCGTAATATTTGCTCGTCCAAATATTTTAAGAACAAAATAGTTTAAGAATCTACGAAGTTGCTCAAGTTTTAAATCTACCAAAAAGGATGGATGTTACACTTTGGTAATTTTTTAAGTTAAATGCCATTGACAACGACTAGAACGGTTTGAAAAAGCGACTAAACAGAAGATATGACATTGTTAATCCCATCTCAATTACAAAGTGTATGATGCAAACGAACCACAAAACCACTTGGTGTAGACGAACCACAAATTGGTGTAACAGACATGACGGAAATTACAACTTTAACCCGTATTTAGACAAGTCGTCCCTGGATGTCACAGTTAAGGTTATGTGACTAAACTAGCATATATATATATCTGTCTTCACAAATATATAATCAGTGCTAGCATAATATAAGAAAATTTAGCATACGTATCGGTCATTTTTGATGATTTTTGTTAATTACCTGATGTGATACCAATCGGCATGTTTTAACCCTACGTCTTCGAAAAATTCCTTTGTACATACGAAAAATACCCACATAATGCAACGACAACTTGAAATTCATTTTTTGTTGAAGTTGAGCAATACATGGTATAGAAGATAATTCGAAGCATTTGCCATTAATTGAGGTTATTAAATATATAGAAAGAATAGAACCTAAGCCCGTTAGTCAACCCAACAACAAATACCAAATATTAAGAAATGTGTAATTTTATTGACATTTTTGACCCTTTTAGGTTTTTAACATTCGTTTCGAGAAATTTAGAGTTTGTAAATGAATTATGATGAATGTGCCTTAACTCGTTTCATGATTCTACCCGATTTTTGTTGAATTTTTAAAGATGTAGCTCTCATCGTTTCCTCCATTAACGTTTCGCATCCACGAAAAGAATTTTGCGGGGTTACAATAAAGTGTGTTTCCATTGCCAAAGTAGCTGCAATTGTTCCTTTAATAATTTTTGAAACCATTTCTCCAGTTCGAATAAATGGGCCCTCCATTCCCAGATTTACGAGATGATTTTGTACTTGTAACGCTGACAAACCAGGGGATGAAAATTGAGCTGTGGCAGAATAGCTGGAATTGTACTTGTCGTTGAATGCAATTGTTGAACAGACCGTGAGTGACGTATAAGATGGGACCACAACTTCTCTTGAGACTTCTACTATCCTTTCCGTAGAGTTGCTCAACGTTTCCGTAGTTCCCGAACTTTCTCCTTCCCCTTTTTCAAAATTGATATTTGCCCCATATCCAAATTCCTCAAGGAATAGACCAAATCCGTGGGTAACACTTACTACGGATGAACTTTCCGTTGTCTCCGTGTAACTAATTCGTTCAGATACCTGAAAAAAATTGTACAAAAATTATATAAAGATTATACGCACAGAAACTAGAAAGCACTACCAAAATGCAAGAAATTATGGTATATGCCTAGAGAAAATATAATTAAATGGATTTCGCAATGTGGCAAATGTTAACCAAATGTTTAATTTGAGTTAAATTCTTATAAATGGTTATAACGATTGTTAATCCCGTTTTGTTATTGCTATATTGAGAAGTGATTTTTTATAAAATTTGACGTGTCACACTTATGTACTTGATTACAGTCAAGGTAGTATTGTCAACCTACCTTTTTGGTATGAGTAACAACTTGAATGACAGTGACATCCGCATGATTCGTCAGCTCGTCCAATCCAATAAAATCCAACTCTCCATCCTCACTATTTGGATCAATTGCCAAGGAAAAATTTACGACCTTGGTCATAACTCCAGGCCTGTAGCTTACTAAGATGGAAAACTGTCGAGTCCTGTGTACGGTAACGGAGTCGGGTGCTACTACACAGTTGCCAAGGAAGCCTGGTTCAAAATGTCCTGAAATCCTATCCGTCTCAGATCTGCATACCTTTGGAGATGTAGAGAATTTAGCGACGTCTTGGTGGTACGGATTCATCCATTGTGTCCGACATCCATGAGGGTTGGTTAAGAGTTCGAACGAGTCAAATTGTTTTGCTTCGTAATCACCGAACGAGGAAATAGCAGCGTACGCCGCCATCTCGTTATCCGTGGACAATTGTCCTATGTAAACATTTCCGGTTGAATTTGAAGTTATTTTAACGACATAGTTGTTTTCCGTGCTGGTCGATATTGCCGAGGATGGGACTTGTCCTGTATTATACCCTGTGTCAAATGAGACCCACTTTAATGGACAATTTATTCGGATATCTTGCTCGCCCTGAATGACCCCATAGAAGGGGGTAAGGTAAATTAAGATCGACCACAGAGGCCACATTTTATTTTTTGTGAATCTTGTCTATTTTGAAATATGTAGAAGAAATTTGGAACGAGGTGAACAAAACCACCGTATTAATATCAAATGTACTGTAATAATTGTTGTATCTGCGTATCACCCAATGTCAGATCAAATATTGACTTGTTTAACTGCAGAGATATGCGAATAAAATCGGAAAGAGTATTAACACGATTTGTAGTGTTTGGTAAATCGTAGTTGCTCGTGATTGATCGGGTTTAATATGCGACTGGATCTGGTTTTGATCAGGGTTTGCATAAAGAGCTTTATTCATCCAAAGTATATATTCAGTAGCTCATACAACAAACCAATTCCGTCCACAGGGCAGCAGATATCATCTGTTTCTTAACACGTTTTGCATAATGCAATTTTCAAAAATTTCAATTTTAGTTCTGCTCTATATTTCGAGCATGGGAAGCTCCGTCCCATCTAAACTGCATTGTCCGTTGACCTGGGTACCTTACACGACAGGGGATCGGCTCCCAGATGCAGCATTCCTATCCCCCGATGGAACCCAAGGGTTCGGGAGGGGTTTTGTAACATCGTCTTCAATTTACGGGATTTTCAGCCAAAAAACCTTACTGCTGCATATTAAACTTCTACTTGGAAGTGGAACACTTCGGGAATTCGAGATTCTCACAAACCCTCTACATTGCACTTTAGATTGGCAAGACAATTATGAGAGTTCGGATAGAAATTTGCGTGTAACTGATAGTCAGGGCACAAGTTTGGGGCGAAGTAGTGGCTCTCAATTTGCAATTCTTGGTACTTTTGGTGACTATTATTTTGACAACAACGAACTAGAATTAGTGCCTGGTTATGATTTTAACTACCTCATTTCGTACACCGGCCTCTCGTTGACCTTAAAGAATTTCGTTTATGCTAAATCCCCCGCCACTGGTCGACCCAGTACGGTAGGGCTGGATGAAATCTTTAACAATGCGGATACTACCGTGACCCAAACTATAACCCATGCAAAATCCATTTCAAACACAATATTAATTAGCGTGTACACGACAAATACTTGGGAATTGGCATGGAACGTTAATGCCAATGTGGGTATTCCTGGCTTACTTGGGACAAGTGCAAAACATACAGAAACATATTCTGAAAGCACAACGTACCGGGAAACACTTGAAATAACACGAACGCAGACAATTTCGTCTTCAAGGACGGTGAGAAATTGACATTGCAGATGGGGTTATTATAAATCTATTTAAGTAAGATTTTTTTCTAGATTACCGTTTATCCACATACTTCTGTCCGAATCTGTTCAATCGTTGGGATTGCAGAAAATTTCCAGTCGGATTATATTGCTCTAGCAGAATACCGAGTAACTAATTGGAATGGTGTGGAAGTTAGAGACTACCTGATTTCGGAAGATGCAGACTTTTACGATCTGGAAGTGTTTGGAGACGCCGCGTATCGCCACATCCGGGGAAGTTTTACAGGATCCATTTCTCTAAATACAAAAGTGATTGCTGTTCCACCGAATTCACACTATGGTTGTGAAAGAGTTGTATTGTAAATTTAGACGAAAAATTGAATTAAGGTAAAAATAGAAATGCAATAAATGCAAATATTGAGAATATAATGGTATTGGTCGTTAAATAATTAATGGACATATGTAATTTTGAATTTGAATTTCGCCCACCCCCAATGTTAATCAAGTTGGCAAATGATTTTGGCGGGACGTAATTCCATCCCCATTAATTATATATTTACCAGTCAATACTATGTAAGTCTTATGTGTCTATAAATTAAAAAATGCATAACCCAATACCCCCATTCAAACCCTACATATGTATGTAGACACTAGTTAGCGGTCATATTCGCGTCCTAAGTCTCAATTTAATTTTGTGCCCATATTTGAGTTAAATTTAACAATTTCAGCCGTAAATCTGCATTTCATACTCTGCATGAAATTTACATATGTAAATATTTATTTTCCCTTCCAGCACACCTCGCACACGAACTGCTTCGTGGCCGCGTGCTTATCCATGTGCACCGCGAGGACGGCTTTGGACATACATTGGAGCCCGCAAACTGGACAAGGATGACCGACGAAGGAGTCTGAGTGCGTCTTTTGATGGACGACGAGGGACGCTTGGCGGGAAAAAAGGGCCCCGCACGTGGGACAGGGAAGGGATCGTTTCCCCACGCGGTGCACGGTGGAAAGGTGGCTTTTGAGTTGGGACGAGTTGGAGAGGACGGCGGAGCAGAGGGTGCATTGAAATGGGGTGGGAGAGGCGAGATGGGTGGCGAGATGGGCGTCCAAGTCGACCTGGGTGGGGAAAGGGAGCGAGCAAATGGAGCAGGGGAAGGGGGACGGCGCATTTATGGAGGGGTGGACGAGATACGTGTGTTTTTCTAAGGAGAGGAGAGTTGAATAGGTTTTTGAGCAGGTGGGGCAAGCGTGGGGTTTGAGTTTTTTGGGGCGTGGGATATAATAGGAGGGTTTTGGGGGGCGAGGTGGTTTTGGGGAAGTGGAATCCTTGGATTTGGTGGAATCTGGAATTTTTGGAAGGTTTTTAGTTAGAAATTTGCGAGGTTTTGAACTACAAATTTAGAGGATATTTATTTTTTGTAAGGGTTTTTCTCCTTGGTATAACTATGGCGCAAGTTATGGCGTAAAATTGTGAGTACCTAGTTTTTTAGGTTTCTTCTTCTTGGACCCTTTCTCCTCCTCCCAGTCGGAGTCGGAATCGGTGGAGATTTCTGAGAAATCGGCGTCAGGATCGGATTCCTCTTCGCCGTCAGAATCCTCCTTCTTCTCGTTGGAGGGGACGAACAAATCGCCCACGTGGAATTCCTCTGCGTTCATATTTAGTATTTCACTACTTAAATTAGTTAAGTTCATGTCTTCAAAATCGGATAAGGGTTCGTCCTTGATTTCTGGTAAAATTAGCATTTCTTGTTTGCAAATTTCACCCAGATTTGCAATCCTATCGCCTATTTCGGCCTTAATTCCATTCCCTCCTTGAAAACGGAGTAGGTTAGAGAAGGTTTCAAAACCTTGATTTACGAGGGGAATTTCTTGCTGGATTTCTAATTAATTAGGAAAAAACATAGACAAGTAGTTATCAAAATATGGGAAAATTATGGAAATAATCACATACTATCGTTGAGGTCAATAATCTCGCGAAGTTTCCCCGTTTTCGCCGCATTTTGCACCGTCTTTGCCAACCGGATTCGCAAAAGGTCGAGATTTTTCAGGAACTTGAGTACTGAGCGGAACTCGAGGTCGATATCGCGAGTAAGTTGGGCGCATGGCGGGCAGAGGTTGCCGTCGGTGCGGAGGACGTGCGTGGCGACGGGGTGGCTGACCTCGATGTGGAGCAGGGACAGGACGGAAGTGGTGCAGGAGGTCGAGTACGAGGCCAGCGCTGAGGAGGACGTCGCCATGGCAACGGCGACCTGATCCCCACAAAATGTGCAAAATTCTACCATTTTTACTCAGAGAAAGGTTGAGGTAAAGGCTGAAATAAAATAGAATAAAATTATGTAAATATTTCGTTTTTGGATAATTTAAAAAAATAAAAAATCTAAATTTCCACATTCTTCATGATTTTTTTACGAGGAAACCCTAATTTTTTTCTGTATTAGGACAATGGAATAATATTTTTGGACTTAATTGCAAAAAAAATGATTATTTTAGTAAGTACAAAGTATGTCTAAAATATTTGCGAACTTTTTAATAATTACCTTTATGTCTTGGCGTATCGTGGAATTATTTAACTTCTTTAGGAGTATTTAGATGGGAGAAAATTGGTAATAATTTATTACTAGGAAATAATAACTTTCAAATATTTTTGGGATAAATATCAAAACATGTGATGATGTGGATTGTTTTGTTGATTTGCGGGTGCAGAGACAGGTGCAAAATGATTCGCGCTGTGGTTTTCTCAAACTGGTCAACAAAGCCATGAAAACTTTTTCATGAACATTTTACGTCGAATTTTTTTCACAGATTAAAAATATATTTTTTTGCAAAAATGCATAAATTTTTGGCAAAAATATATAATTTTTTTGCAAGTCAAAAATATATAAATATATTTTTTTCCCAAGAAAAAATTGCATGGAAATAATTTAAATAAGCATGAAACAAAGTTGTTAAAGAATGTGAAAATTGTAGAAAAAAATAGAATAGCAATTTAATCTCTAAATTTATGCTGTATAAAAATATTAGAATTTGATGTCACATTGTTCATAATGTGGGTTTTTGCTCCTTTTCCTCAACTTGAAGGTATAGTACCGTGCATAATGGATGTTGTCAGAATCTGCACTTAGATACTGATTGCATAAAAAAACTGATTATTTAATAATAAAATTATTCTGGAAGGCAAAATCTCGTTAATGTATTAGCAGTGTGAAAACTACACATTTTTTCTGCACGGTCCCCCTCAAAAACATTTTTGAGAATGGAACACAAAGATTTATGATTTGGAAGGATTTTAGAGTAAGAATTATTTGTTTCCTTGTTGTTTTTTTCGTATAATGTAATATTTATAACCCTCCATGAAAAAAACTTTTTAGCCACACCCATCCAAGTGCAATGGAACCTCCTGCAAAAAGTAGGACGTAATGCAGACTATTATCTCTACTTGATATTATATTCACTCTTCCAAGAAATCAAGAGTCCAAAATATCGGGTAGTTTAAGATATGAATTTATAATGTTATTTTACTTGCTGTTAGGGTGAGCAATGATCCGACAACTCTAAATAAATTAAGTAATAGTTAGTGAGATCACCAAATGAAACTAGCAAAAGTAGTGGAAAAATTAGTTAAGTACGCATAGTGATAAATTAAGGTCATATATTTTATTTTTACATGAAGGTTGGACTAGTTTTGAAACCTACTCTGACCATTTATAACAAAATGTACATATATACATATTGTTATATTTTGCGAGCCAAAGCTAATTTGGTCGTATTTATTGTTAAATAAACAAAAAAATTCTATGTAAACTTAGTACAGAATGCACACAATACATTCATACACACTACAGGAGACATAAAAGGTAGATGATTATTATTATCGTGCAGCAGGAAGCCTATTTGTTTTATATAGCAATGGTTACATAATATGTATATACATACAAGAAAATAGTTGAGTAGGAAATTTGAGTAATACTCCCGTTAATAGAATTATTATCTATCTAGTTGGGTTTACCTTAATCAGAATTAGGTCTTATCATTTTGAATCACCCAATTTTCACGCATTGTTCCATATCTCTAGAAATTATTGCAGCATTCCATTCAAACTCACCACCAGAACTGATAATGATGTGATTCATCACCACGTAAAATCTTATGGGATTCGAATAATCATGAGCTGAGATATTGATAAAAATGCAACTGGTCTTACCATTTTGAATCGCACCCAATAGAGCTAAATATTAAAAATGTACTTGGATATTATTTATATCTGTATACTAAATAATTATGAAGGGTAAAATTATCATCTATTAATTGTCAACATCTTTCACAATCTCTAAGGCATAACATCATCAGACTTATAAAAATTACTCACATTTGGTTCCCCATGATAAAGAAACATACCCAGATGTTCATCTTATGCTTCCAGACTTTTACACCTCATTCACACCAATACTAGTAGTGGGTGTCTAATCCTAAGTTAGGCTAGTGTCTTTCATATTATTGCCACAACTACCAAAGTTGGAGGGATGTATTTAAAGGAACGGTCCAACTGTTTTTAAACTTAGGCCGTTCAGCGGTTTCAACCATGACGACAGAATTGCTCTCAGCTTGCTGGTTCTCAATCTCTCCGATGAATTCTTCCAGTACCCATATTCACACTTGTAACTTTGTGGATCGCGATCCAATTTGGATAGAAAAACTCGATCCGATCCACGAGCCGAGCCGATCCACCCTTTGATAGATCGTGGCACACTCGATCCAGCTGGCTCATCTTCCCTCAAAATATAATAGAGAACATATGAATGATCTAAATGTAGTGCAAATGCCGTCAACTCTAATAATCACGATTCGTGTACACAAATTTAAAAATTTAACGCATTTTGATTTATTTGGTAACAAATAGAAATGCATCATTAAATCGATCGCTATATCTAATACAGATTTCACCAATCAAATTACAAATCAAATCTATGCATGTGGGATCGTAGAGAAATTCCTAGTTGGTCGTACAAGTGACAACAAAAAAATCAAAATTTGATAATTTATTCCTCGTCCCCTGCAGACTTGTAATTCTCGAACATGAGCTATAATTTTGTCAAGATAATGTTGACCTCGTGGAAAGCAATAGAAGCGTCTTCCTTGACGTTAGCAGGCAAATCCGTCCTCTCCGTGAAGACCGTGATGATGTATTTGTTGAATCGATACAGCATGGCATGAATGCGTTTGCACAATTTAGTTTTCTCTCCTCAAAGTAATCTCCGCGACTAATGAATAATCTCATTCCTTCTTAAAATGAATGTCCTCTGTGCTATACTTTTGCAGGGTCAAAGTACTCGATGTGGACGTTAAACTCGAAGTCTGCTGACATAGGAGGGTCCAGCTATCCACCAAATTTGACGAAAAAATGTACCAAGCCAGTTTATCCGTTACTGTATCAAAATAGGATGCAGGTTGTGAATGATGAAGAATCCTTCCAAATAATGATGGAGGACCTGTCAAGTCAAAAACAAATCAGTTTGGATTTGGAAGGAAACGACGACCACTCTTTCTTGGGTAAGTGCATTATGTAGCACTTAAAAATAAATATTGACCAACAACCTAGGTTGTTGGTCATATTTTCAATCTCTGTAATAAATTGTTATGGGCATGACGGTCATTATTCAAATTGGCACCAAGGAGGTGGACTACATTATTGACGTCTTTCCTGTTGTGGAGCTTATAAAACGTCATTAAAGGAGTTCCTAGAAAATGTTAACGCTATCCAATACGTCTTTGGGGGAGACAATGATGTCATGTGGCTGAAACGTGATTTTTTCATCGATATAGTCAATGTGGTGGATCTGCAACTATTGTTTTAATTATTGCTCCAGAACGACTTGTTCGACACCATTTCCAGCTCGGTGCCAGTCGAAAATAAAGTGGCCTGGTATCGTAGTCTCATCCGGAATAGGATTAAGACCACTACTAGTGAGGAACGACAGCAATGGGAGAAACGTGCGGACAGTCAAGCAATGACTTTCGATAAAGTTTGTGGGCTGTTTTACCCTGAAGCAGAAATTGACAAAGACGCTCAAGTCGCTAATTTTCTTCCGAGATCCGCAGACGATGTGAACTATCAAAAGTTACTTAAATATGCAAGGGACGACGTACATATTCTGCTCAGAGTTGTTATGATTATAAAAAAGTCATGTAAGTGTTTATGGGTTCAAGTAATAAATATTCAACATTACTAATGAATATTTATTTCCTAGCTTCCACCAAATCAGGAGGCCGTGATTTTTAATGCAGCGTTTGAAGCCACAGCACACTTGTAACTTTGAGGATCGCGATCCCAAAAAGATGGTACAATGTTATACGATCCTCGATCCGATCCGACCCGATCCCGATATTTTTTTATTCAGTGCAGAATTAACATAGGTGTGGAACACATGCGTTGAAATTAATTTGCTTCTCATTCTCACAATTTGTGCATACCGAACAAGAAATCCGTCCCAACAAAAATGGCAACTGAAAATAATTCCCACATATAACCCAAAGTTTTGGAGGACCCACTCCGACAAAAGTTTATTGATATTTTGAATTCGAATGGAATTAAGGATGAAGTGGACAAAGTTGTGATGACGGAGCCACCCGAATTGAAGGGAGAGCATTTCGCCACTGCAACGGTGTATCTGCGATTCGAATTTGTGGATAAGTCGAAGAAGCCAAAGAATCTGTTTGTCAAAAAGTTTACTTCCAATGAAGCTCATACCGCATTTATTAGGCAGGGTAGAATTATGGAGAAGGAGATGTCCTTCTTTAAGGAATTTTTGCCAAAGGCGAAAGCGTTTTGTGCAAAATATAAAGGGTTAGTAATTTAATATTATTGTGCATTAGCAAATTTTGTTATTAAATACACTTATTTTATACAAATGCATATGTAGGTGTGAGAAATTATTGGACAATTTTCCAAAATGTTGGTATGCCGATGAAGATATGGTTGTCTTGGAAAATCTTGTGCTGGACGATTCCTTCATCATGCTAAATAAGGATGATAAGCAAGATTTATTCACGGCAAAGTTAGCAAAAAAATTCACTGTAAAATTCCCATGTGTAAGAAGGGTATTGTTTGTATGATTTTTGCAGAATGGTTTTGTCAAATCTTGCAAAATTCCATGCTACAAGCTACGCGTTTATACAAGAAGAGGTTGGGGGTAATGATAAATTTATGGAGGTTCATGACTGTCAATGTTTTGAAGCGTTCATTCAAGAGAACAATCCGATGGTATGCTATCATTTGAAATTCTGTACTGTTTGTTAATCGATGCCTTATACTGCTTCTTCTATTTTAAGACAGCGCCAATGTTTGATAACGGAGCAAACACCTGCATTAATATGTTAAAGGTATGCAATTATGAAAATATCGATGTTAAAATTACCAAATTATTAAAAAAATCTTTCACAATTTTTCGAAAATATATACCATATTATGCAAAACGGGAAAAAAAGACGAACAGGATTCCAATAATTACGCTATATATTTCTTAATACTAGGGTTACCCTGTGGAAGGGGACAAAGAGGTAATTGAAATCCTGACCAACTCCATGGGCAAGTCCTACCCCAAAGTATGCCAAACGGTCAAACCTAACCCTGAGGATAAACTGTTGGTCTTGAATCATGGGGATTGCCATAATAACAACATGCTTTTCAAGAAAGATCCAGCAACTGGACAAGTAAATGAGCATGTCTTTGTGGACCTGCAAATAACGCGATTTGGATCGCCAAATTTGGATATTTCGTACTTCATGTACACCAGTGTCAAACCGAAAATAAGGCGAGCACATTTCGAGGAGC